TGAAGAAGAAAGCCCTGCTGGTGTTGACATTAAGGCAGTATTCAGTCAGGTCGCGCCCTCTACTCCTTTTACGCTGCAAGACTACGAATCAATTGATGAAAATGTTCGTACCTGTTGTGAAGAGACTGTCGAGGAAATGATTGCCGAAGTGCAAGATGAGGATCAACCTTCCAGTGATGAATGTGGTGACAATACTGCCAGTGCAGTGGGGCCACCAGACCGATCAGCTAAAGAGGCTGTTGAACTTTTGCAGCGCTATTCTGAGCATGAGGCTTGTCCAAAATTTCTAGCTAGTTTGTCAGGCATGGGTGCAAACCTTGTGAAAAAACAACTAAAGCTTGCCAAACAAACCACTCATCACTCCATTTTTTTCTCCTCATCCTCATGAGTAAGGTGAGGTTTGTGCAATTTGAATAAAGATCTTGGTTCACTAAATAAGTGTACTTTGCTAAAATGAAACTTTTGATAAATGGAACAGTTTTATGTATCCCCTTCGAGTTCCTTTTAAGAGGAGTCGACTGTATTATTATTATTATTATTATTATTATTATTATTATTATTATTATTATTATTATTATTATTACCACCCCGCCGCGGTGGTCTAGTGGCTAAGGTACTCTGCTGCTGACACACTGCTCGCGGGATGAAATCCCGGCTGCGGCGGCTGCATTTCCGATTGAGTCGGAAATGCTGTAGGCCCGTGTGCTCAGATATCGGTGCTTGTTAAAGAACCCTAGGTGGTCAAAATTTCCGGAGCCCTCCACTACAGCGTCTCTCATAATCATACGGTGGTTTTGGGACGTTAAACCCCACATATTAATATTATTAACAATATTATTAGTATTTTATTAATAATATTATTTAAGGTAATATAACCTATAATAAATATTCAGAATGTAGTACTTTACTTTTATCTCAAGTTTCAACCCCCCCCCCCCCCCCCCGAGAGAAATCCTGGGTGCGCTAATGTGCTGAGTTGCTGATTTGTAGGTTTTATACTTCTACTTATTACTTGCTGAGCATTTGAAGCCTCATTATGAGAGCGAAGCACTGGAAAAGCATGCGTGTGTTCATTCTAAGGTAGAAAACAAAACAAAGAACCCATAGAAAAACAAAACGAAAAAATTTTGCGCGCTTCAAACATGGTACCTTGAAAACATGGTGTGGACTCATTCATCGAGTGTCTAAACAAAATGCCTCGAAAGGGCTTTGCAATGCTTTTTCAAGTAATCATCGCATGATTTCATTAAAAGAGCTTATTTCCGCAAGAATCAACTGTCACAAAAATTTTTGGATACTGTCAAGTAAGAGTGGATGCTTCAAACGCTTTCTCTCTCCTTCCGTATTAGCGAGCAAGCTGAAAGCGATGCAGAAAAGGCGGGCTATGATAAGAGGGCAAGAATAATTCATTTGTCATCGGACATCATGACCTTGTGCACTCTTTTCTTTTTCGTTTTTGTTCCCCCTTCAAAACGTGCCTGTCGCAGCATCCCACAGTGGCTACGGTAACTAAGCAACTTATGATGCTTAAGTTAGCCAGCGGTTGCAGATTTCGGGTTTATGGCATCCTTTGTTGAAAAAAGAGAGAAGTATATTTAGCTGACTTTGAGAATTTGTTATTTGTTCCAGACCGCGTAATACATTATAATGTTTGGCTTGCATGTTCTCAGGAGCCTCCACTACCGATCGGGTGCCTTTTCTGACCATGTTTAAAAAGTGTTGCAAGACCCCTTTAAGCATTTTCTTCATGCAAGCTAGCGTGTTTGAAGGCTTGTTGCATTATCAAATCGCCACAAATGCACACTCTACTAACTCAATACCGCATCTGCTCTCTCACTTCAATGATTCATGCCATGTCTGGATAGTTGATAGTGGCTAGGTGATGACACACCTTAAAATTGATCATAATGTAATGGCATTAGCATTTGCTTTAAGTTAGATGTTAAGAAAACCCAGGTGGTCAAGATGTTCGGGGCCCTCCAATTCAGTGTGCCTTACATATCTGTTTTGACACATAAAACCCTAGCAGTTATGAGTTATATCTCCTGCGAAAAACTCTAATTTTTTTCTTTCAGTTGACTAATCCACAACAACTCTCCTATGGTAGTGTTCCAATTAATATGTTGCACTGCTAAGATCGAGAAGAACATGGCTTTCCTTTACAGTGGATGCATTCTGATAGGGGCCAAGTGCAAAAACACACTAGTGCTTAGATTGAGGTGCACGTTAAAGAACCCCAAGTGGTAATCATCGCTCATGAGTACCTCATCTTAGAATGCCTCTGTGTTTCGGCACATAAAACCCCAGCAATTAATAATGTATGCAAGTTTCATAAATTTCAGCCATAAATCAACTATTTGCTTTTTCCATTCACTATAATTTAGAGCTCTAGGAATATCAAAATTCTGGGTATAAAGGAAATTCAAATATATTGCGAATAGTTGTCTGATATATGTTTAATATTTTTCGAATAGTCAAAGGAAAATGGATAAAAAAAGGTTGCGGAAGATCCGATCCCTAGGTACATTCTTATAAGATAGGAATATGGAAGTGTTTCTCTTGATTAGTGGGTAAAGTGCTGGTGGGATTGTGTTCTCTTGTTGTTTTATCAAGGATGAGGCAATGCTGACACAGAATTGTATTTATTTGCATGATTTGGTGCAACCAAGGTGATGTCACTACACTTTACATGTGAAAAGAAACCACACGACTTGCTCTCCCTCTTCAACTGCTTCGGAGGCCCTATTGATTGGGCAGACAAGGGCGTTCTCCCTTCGAATTCGCAGTTGCTAATCTACCTTGTAGGCGTCAGTGCTTAAAAATGCTTAAATGACAAATGCTGAAAATCTTCGTCTGCTTTTGCGAACTTTTTGGTCTAAAAATGGCATTAATTAAAGCCCCACCTCTACCTCGTAGCTTCGAATGAGTGCTTTCAAAAGTCTACCAATTTACGGCCATAGCGAAGCCCTAAAGCAGCTTTGCTGTATTGTTAGTATATAATATAGCAAAGCTCATTAAAAATATGAAGAGGCCATTATAATGGTGCAGTGCATGTACATGTTGGAACCAGAATTTCCTTGAGTTGATACATTTGCGACTGTAGCGGAGTATAAAAGTCGGCTTCGTCGCAATGCGAGAGTATGATGGGGTGCAGCATATCAAAAATCTAAAGGGGTCACTGTCAATCGGACGTTGACTGTATATTTGTATTTGGGAAGTCCTAATAGTGGAATTCCGGAGTGAATCAAATAAAGAAGCAAGCTGTATTAAAAAATATTCAAAAGTTAGAATATTCACACACACCAACTATAATTTAAGATGTGTTTGAAAATTCTTTTTTTTTGTAAAGTCATTTTTGTGCTTCAAATGCATTATTGTTGGAAAATATGAGCTTCACTTCCTGGCCAGTGTTTCACTCAGTCATATCGATAGAAGAGGGGAAAAAATTGTGAATTCACAGAAAAATTGCTACTGGCAGCGAATACTATTTTCAGAGAAACCAATTTAAGTTATTCTTGGAATGCATCAAGTAGCCATTTACATCGAAACAAAAGAATGGTGTTGCATTGCTACTGCCATGGTGATGGCGGTGTTATATGTTCCATACAAATGCACAGTACACAGTTATCTTTAGCATGTACCAGACCTTTATTGAAGGGGCCAGTCAACAGGCTCCGAAGTTTTTTACACCCCCCAAACAAGCTCGCCAATTCGTTACAGTAGACAGCAGCGATCACGTTTTCTGAATATTACTGAGCTGTGTGCCGCACAGAGCCTCCATTTCGAAAAACGATTTCCGCGCTCCTTTCTTAAGCCTGACCAATGCTCCTTCCATGCGCAGTGACGTCAACTGTGCGACCGGCGACTCGACGCAGCATGCAGCTCGTCGATTGGTCTAAACTAGGTCTCAATAAACAGTAGTGAAGTCAATGACAGTTCCTGTTCCCACCCACAGCTACGACAGAGCTATGTAATCATACGAGTTGCGAAACTCCCCATAGGCTCCATGTATCAAAATCCGAACACGTCCCTGGCCCAGTTTTGGAGCGTAAACAGATTGTTGCACCACCTGTTGACGAGCGCGCCCATTATTAAATGCATTATTTGCGTTTAGTGTTACTGCTCTTGGATGGCACGACAGTCTGCTCCCGAAAAATCGAACTCCTGAAAAATTGGGCCAACTTCGTGTCCGGGGTTCGGAACGCCGTTTTACTGCAAATCCTCAACAAAATCCACCCAGCGCAACACCCGGACTCATGTCCATGGTGTTGGGAGCTGCCATCTCTATAACATGAATGTGTAGACTAAGGCCACTTGAAATTAATGCACCCTATTTAGGGTGAAACCCATTTTAGAGGTAGTGGGAGGTCTGGCTTGTGAGCAAGATCGAGAGAGCCAAGTTGTTCTGCTCGATGGGGCCCAGCGAGCCGCAAAAGCCAGTGGGGCAAGGGAACCCACCCACCTTCGCCCTAATCCCCTCAAGTACAATAAAGTTTCTACTACTACTCTCTCCTACAGGACACTTTCAACAAAAAGGGGAGGCAGACTTTCATGGGAATACAAGTGCCTTGCCTCAACAGTGCATTTTTGGGTGGTCACGCACATTTGCAAACATCCTAGAGAGGATTACAGCAGCACTCGGGGAGCCTTCCCTGAAAGGAGTTGTCTGCTCATTGCTCATGTAGTCGGGTATGTTTACATGAAAACGATTGCGGGTCTCTCCTAACCCTTTGATACTGAAACTGTGACTGGACTGTATTAAACAGTCTTCAAAAATTTAACCATCATGCACTCAAGCCCATGAGGCTTCTGATGTATGTGGCAAGTGGGTCATTAGCTGCGTTTTTCAGCAAGAAAATGATGTAAAATTTTTGTGTCAATGCTCTTTTACCAGACTCGCTTACACCATTTGTTGGTGGAGGTTTTTTCTTGCCTTTCCAAAATGGCACTGAACTGCCTTTTTGTGTACTGATTTATGTTTCCTTTTTTGCTTCCAACAGTGGTACAGCATTTTAATAGGCTCTAAGAAGGACCATACTTCAACCAAGGAAAGAATCCAGGATGGTTTCTTAATCAAAAAGCATGTTGAAGTAAGTCAAAATATTTACTACTTCATGTGCATGTGATACTTCTGTGGCATGCTCAGTGTTCAGTATATAGAGTTAAAGTGTTTGCTGTGTCTTTACTTTTGCAGAAAGCTATAGAATTGATGCCTCAAGACCCTCTGAATTATTATGTTCTTGGAAATTGGTGAGCAATGTGTTTTTCATGTTCAAAACTGGAGCATGTTGATATTATTTACTGTGTATAGAGCTTATTAAAATTAGTTTTATGCAGCTTGTTCATTTAGGCCCGTATTCACAAACGCTCCTTCACTCAAGGGTTCCCCTTGACTTGACGAAGTCAAGGCGGAGCGTGCTCCTCCACTCAAGGGGCCGCTGCGTTTCATGAACGCTCCTCGACACTTCCTTCGCCAAGGGAGGCCTTGGAAATGCTCCCTTCACTTGAGTGAACTGCATGGCCGAGAAAAGCGCCTGATAACGAGAGTATTCGCAATTGTGGTTAAGAATTGCCTATCTCTGTACATTAAAAGAACGATTTTTCTAGTTGTTCTTTTTTATAATTTGACATTACAGCAAAATACATGCATTTAGAGTGGTTCTTTTTTTATAAATTGACATTACAGCAAAATACATGCATTTAGAGTGGTAGTGTTGTTTCCCCAAGCCTTGTGCTGGTAGAGTTAGCGAAACCCCTCTTCAAGTCTGGCAACAGTCGCACCCAGACAGCTGAACGAACAGCTGATGGCATTTCGTCTGCTGCTGAACGTGTCTACCAGCTTAGTTTATTATGTCTTGTATGCGTCTATTAATTGCAGTTTATATTTACGGTAGTGTTTCCGTGTGTGTCATTTGAGAGCCTACTTTCGCCGGGGTGACTAACGAACTAAGTGAGTAATGACAGGAAGCGCAATAGATGGTTTGTTGCTTTACTGAGAGCCTTCTGATCACTAATGTAGCCACCGAGTGTATAACGCGGTGAAATGAGTATTTTTTTACTATATATCACATTATATTGGCGTGCTTTTAGAATTCACCACCGCATTATATATAAGGATTACTCGCACGTAAATTTGTTATTAGACAGCTCCGTAGTAAACGCGCACCGTCATTGTCGAAAAAATGCGGCCGTGGCAGCCTAGTTGATTGAGAAACGCCGTCAAAGCGAGACGGGCTCTGCCATGGACGCGATTCTGGCTCAAGTATTTCACTCGAGGGACGATTCAAGGTAGCTCGATCGCTTCCTTGACAATCTCGAGAAAACGCTCAAGATTTTCTCAAGTGAAGGAAACGTTTCAAGTGAAGGGCGGTTTGTGAATGGGAAAACGTCACTTAAGGAGCGTTTCGAGTGAAGGGTCGAGTCGAGGAGCGTTTGTGAATATGGGGGTAAGAAATTAACTGGCACATTTAGTGGTATGTATCTATGGCCTATGCAGTATTACTCTCAGCGCTAGGCACTGCACTTCAGCAAGCCAGGTATAGTGAGCATATCTTATTAGGTCGGCTTATCCTAGAGAGGTCAGTGCCATAGAAAACAGTGCCCTCAGCTGTACACACGTTATAAAAGTACTATAACACAGGCTTGCTGCCTCTCTGCAAAGTATTCTGCATTGTTTACAAGGTTGAGGAGCACATGGCGGTTGGTAGCTTTGTGTGTATCTCTGCCAGCATTCTCAGATTGCTGCATATCTAATGTTGTAACTTGCACTCCAACCAGTTTTGTTTAATGATATAGAAAAATCGATTAAAAGTCATGTTTTCACTGCACACTTGCAGTAATATTTATTACATGATCTAGGGACCTTATTCTTTAATGCTTCTGCAGACAGGCTATTTCGTTAGATCTGCAGGTTTTTTTATAAGCGAAATGCAATGGTGTGCCAACTGTATCATTTGCACCATTTTGCTGCAGTTCTATTGGCCCTTGTCAAACATTATTCATGTGGGGCTCGTGGCAAGTGCACCATAGTTCACTATTTATTCTATCTGCATGACAGTGGAGTGTTTCTGGCCTAACATATTCTTGGACTGGCACAAACCCAAACAGTAGTAGTTTTTACATGATTGCCGGGAGAGTTGTCTCCTCTCTGTTTCTGTACCGATGCCCTTTTTCTCATGTAATCTGCCCAATCGGACTGTCGGTGCCTCCATATTGAGAATTTGGCATGATTTCAATATGGAAGCTGATTTCTCTTGTTGAGAAACTTTCAGCAGTACACAGACAAATGATATTTTAATTTTTAGCCACAGTTTATATTTAATGCAGTGATGTGACAGAATTGTGCTTAACTGTGCCAAGTACCTGCTACATTCCGCTACATTTTTGCAGAATCTCATAAGTTGCGCTGAGCGTGTGCCAGGATGTTATTTTTGTGGCCTTTCTAACGAAAACAATACGCAGGCCCTCAACATTGTGGATAAGTTCTGTGAAGCTTGCTCTGCGAGCATGACTTGGAAGGGATATGACGTTTTCCACCACCGTCGCACACAAAGACACTGTGGCTAGGTTTGTCAACTCTTCGTCACGGCACAGAAAAGGCATTCGAGGCAGGTTTTAAGCAAATATGGATCTAAAGGGGACCACTGAGCACTTGAACGAGAAGTCTCGTGCAAAGGCTGCGTGAAACTCTCCCGTTGGAGGCATGAGAGCATCTCCCACGGTGAGCAAGCACCTCACAGGAGCAAGCTCAGGCGAAGAGGGTGCTGTCACTGGAAGCCAATGAAGACAGCCGTGGCACAGTGGTTTATTCTAGCATGCTGTGTGCCTTGATGTCTTGATGTCAGGAAGGAAGAGGCATGGCTTGAGCGAGAAACATAGCTTAACACTGTGCACATGGCTGCCATGTTGTCATTTAAGGGCAATTCCTGGTGATCAAGTGGCACAAGGTCAGCCCAGCATGCTAGCTGGGGAACGAGGTGCAAAGGGGATAGATACCCTTGATTCCCACATTATAACACTAATTGATTGATCAAAATTTAAGCTTGTATTTGCAATGTTTTTCCAAGAGTCTACTACGTGTCTATTGTTGGGTAAAACTTGAAAAGATGGGAGAGGTGCAGCCAGGTGATGAAAGCATGGCAGCCATTTTTCTCAATGACCAAAAAAACAGTCCTGCTCATATGCTGAGGCATGCTGTACGGCATGAGGGTTGCAGTCCGTCCAACTCTTGACGTATATGTAGAGCGTGCACCGTTATATCAGACTTGTGTGCGTCTACTTTTGTTGTGGCCATTGCTTACTAAAGTAGCGCAGGACTATAGAATCTATTCAGCAGTAATTCTTGATATCAATATTTTCTGCTGGAAGGGGTGGGCGGCTGGTTAGAGGGCTGGGTGCACCTTTCAGGCAATGATTATTTTGGTTAAATGTGTAACTCAGTGTAACATAATTATATGACATGGTAAGGATGGAATAACTGCATTTACATGAACCTTTGAAAGCGTCATTACTACTTTATTTTATTTTTGGAGGCATTATATCCAGCATATCAAATACAGGGGTGGAAGTACTGCGCCGATTGCGCCATTCTGTGCCAATCAGACCTGCTGTGCCAAAATGGCAATTCGCGCTTGCGACGACAAATTTAACCCAGTCGCACGAACAAAACACGTTGGATACACAAAAAACGCAGCTGCAATCATATTCCGTGTAGTTTGGTGGCGTCATATTTCGGTTCATGCATGGTGCTCGCACCATGCGTGAACTCAACACCATGCATGAATCTTGCACCACGTGAACGAAATACGCGAACCTTGTTACGGTGGCGTTTGTGTTTTGACCTCATTATGCGAGTGTATCTTTTAACAGCAAAGCTGTTGCGAAAAACTTGTCACACCGTTGAATCGTAATAACTGGAAAAAGAAAAAAAAAACTGCTTTCCCGGCGAAGCAATGAATAGAGCAGCGACAAATTGTGATGTTGCAATAGTAATGGCACATGTGCTCCTTTCTTTCTTTTTTTTATTACTGCTCCCATTATATGTGTAACGCTGCCTTGTGTAAATCATGCCTGAATGACTGGGAACTATCCAGCTAATCTTCTGTGAAGTATGCGCACAACCTGTAAATAGTTTGTTCTTTGATGGCTTGCCAATGCGCTTCACTGCTTGGTAGATTATTGATAGCCGACGCTCTATGTTGCCTGCTATCAGTCTACAATATGTATTGCTTGTAGAGTGACGTTTCATTTTTCGGGCTCATGTCCACCCAAATAAAAAAAGTTCAGTCATAAAAACGCCGACTGCTGCCTTCATCAACATCACGACTTCATTTCATTTTAGTCTTTTAGTCAAACTTCATGTTAGTCTTATCAGGTTCACCACTGCAACAAGTAAACTCCTACAAATACCTTGGTGTGACACTCACTTCCAACTTATCTTGGAATCTCCATATTGACAATGTTTGTTCATCTGCCTTTCGTAAACTATGTCTTTTTAAACATAAACTTCAAAGTGCTCCCACAAATGTTTAACTACTTTGTTACACAGCCCTTGTGCGGCCAAAACTAGAGTACGCGAGCATAGTATGGGATCCTCATACAAAACATAATATATACACTCTTGAGCGTATTCAAAGAAAAGCTGTTAGATTTATATTCAACAGGTACTCCAAGTTAGACTCACCCTCAGATTTAATGTTAGCCAACAACATTCCCTTACTGCAGATGCGAAGACAAAAAGCTAGATTAGAATTCCTTGATCAACTTTTGAACAAAAAAATAGCTCTAGACCCATCCCCGTATTTGACACTCCTTAGTAGCCGGCCCACCCGACACCACCACCCAAAGGCCTTGATCCCATATTTTGCTCGCACAGACCTACTGAAGTATTCTTACTTTCCAAGAACCATATGTGAATGGAACTGTCTTACTAATACATGTGATGAATCAACTAACCTACCAAACAACCTTCTTTGGCCTTTATTGTTTCGTTTCGCAATTATTTTATTTGTATGTGTATTACCACCCTGCTTGGACCTCGAGTCTACAGTATTGAATAAATAAATAAATAAAATAAATAAATAAAATGTAGATAACTGTTATTAGCTTGTCTCTAGTGTTAAGTTGCTGTTCATGTTGGATGCAGTGTTTTTTAACAGTGCAACATTTTAACATAAAGGTTTTTAATTTTTCTGAGGTCTATTCCAATGCGTCGCTTTTGTGTTGTCTTTGAGTTGCTGCGCTTTCATCTT